CTTGTAATGACTCATGAGGTGTATGAGTTCCGATTCATACATTCCGTGGTAGACACCACTGGACTGGTTGACCGTGCGCGACGTTCGCCATTCGCCACGATTCGTCGTGGATTAGACCGCACTCCTAGACTGTCGCTCGTCGAATAACGCAATTTCGCTTTTGCCTCTGTGGGCGATCAATCAATCACTCGTCTGTGCGCCTTTGCGGGGTGCCGGTAAGCGAGACAACGTACAAGCGTTTCATTGAGAGTGAACGTTTTTGCCGATGACGAGAGCCGACGAACTAATGCAACCAGGAAACAACCAATCGAATCGTACTTCAGTAAGCAAGATTTTCTCCACCTGCTCCAGTTTGTCTTTTCGTTGTCAAACGCACAACGAAGCTCCAGCCAGTGTTCTACACGTCGGAGCCACTTTACAGCCAACCAGACAGTAGGGATTGCTATGCAGGTGTCTTACGCACGGCAACGAGTTTACGGTAGCCGCGTTTTCGCGTTTTTTCAAGGCGCATCCGTACCACGCCTGAGAACTAGTACAGATGTAGAAATGTCTGTTCAATTCAGCATTCAGCTCAGCCAGCAGTTCAGACCATAAGCACGTATAACAGTCGTTCAGTTACAACAGCAGGAGGTGCCAGGCTCCACCCTGACTGGGAATGCGAAATCTGACCATATCGAATTGTCTCTGGACAGTGCTACATCGAAATGCAGAGTGCAGAGTAATACAGCGGGTTCTTCGATGACGACGCCGGGTGTCGCTGAGGAATTACGTCTGGATCGAGTTAACTCGCACTCACTAATCAACCCTCTCCCCTCTCGACGCCACGTAGTTGTGTGTGAGATCGTGTCATCTTTTGTGGATGTCTTGATGACGGCCGGCTTTGCGTTCCATATATGCTTCGCGAGGCCGCGGCTATCGTCCATTTCCTCCACTGACCAGCTATCTTAAAGCTCTTCTCTGCAGCTGATCCGTCACCGTGGTTGCGTATCCTATTTTCTATTTCACGACAGCGTTTTGCAGCACATCATGCCACTTTGCTCTTAGTGTTGATCGTCATAAGGTTTTCATTTTCTCGCTTCCGGCTTTCCGTTATCAGATTTTGGAGTGCTGCCTACAGTGACAGCAACAATTCAAAATACAGGCCCTGCATATCAGCACCAATACAGCAGTCTCATCTGATAATCTACGGTAAAACATCACTGGAGCAATTAGAACAAATTTGTTCCATATCGTTTCGTTATCTGTTATCAGACTTGTCCTGGTTAAAGACCTGCCGCAAATGCGAGGTGATGGAAATCCAGCATTCCTTATTCCCCGTTTTCTACTTGCACCGTTGACCAACTAATTTCCCCGTTGCATCGACCCAGCGTACCACTGGACCACGGAATCGACGTCTGTCGTTCAGTGGATCTTAGTTTGCAATCGTTGACGTCCACCGGCTGTCTTTCAAATGAGCCATATGACAGGTCTTGGTGTTGCAGAAAGACCAAATCTGTCGTCGGATTATTTGTGCGCTTGGAACGTGACCTCAGAGGGACACCTTGCACATTTTCACTCCATTTTATTCTTGATTGTTCCACCAGTATATTAGTGTGTCATCAGAAGAATGGAATGTCATACTAGCAGAACAGAATGTCATACTAGCTATAGAATGTAATAGTGCTACGTACAGTGTTGCATTACCCGATGGAGCGCGATAATTCGATAAATACTGCAATAGAGTATTATTATAACTCATAAGGCGAAAGTATCATTTATCCTTCTTAAAATAAATACGCTCAATAGTCTCTTCGCTGATTTATAGTATGAACACCATTTGCTTGATCAGAGCTAAACGTAGCAAAGTAGAGTCTGGTCTGTTCTGCAACCAATCATATTAATGCGGACAATTCCTTCACGAAGATATGATTGAGCCGTTTGCGGATTTGTGGCAATGCCTCATGAGGACTATAATTTCTCGAACTTCGAGCTAGTGCCATGTACTGAAAAGGAGCAAGATTTATGACGAGCACGTCATATATGTGGCATGGTATGGTCTGTTATTAGGACTATTAATATTTTACTAGTTAGTATATGTTCAAGTGTTTTTGCCACCGGCGGTACTGCAGGACCAGCTGGCATGTTTTTCTGTTCCTTCGTCGAGCCATTTCTTTATTTAGGTCAACAGTGGTCCTTGCGTCGATTTCCCCAGCAAATCCACCGAGACGTGGGCGCACAGTGGGTAGTAAATGGTGATGATGACGACAACGACCGAGTCGGTGCTTTTGTGAAAAGCGGCGGAGGCCTCAGCGACGGCGGAGTAAAGCACTAATTCGTAAACGGCCAAGTAATTCGTGTAGGTGTTGCTGGTTTAGGGCATCTTTATGGGTCGTAACGGATTTACAGGCGGACCGATACCGATGGCCATTCAGCACGGCGGATGTTATCAACCGTAACGTCGATTAAATTCACGACCGATGGACTGGCGAACCGGAGTCGTTCGACGATGAAATTGATATTTTCACCGAGGGCGTGTGCCCATGACGGCCGGGTGCCACACCCAACTGTTCAGCGTCTCTTAATGGGTCTTGATGTGATTGGTCATCGTCGTGCGTCGTTTTACGCCCACCTCGTACGACCCGACGCCTCAAAAGCGTTTTCGTTTACGGCACCGGCGTAAACTTTAAACAGCCCTCATCAAACGTCTGTGCACGGGGATTAATAAGATTTGCTGACGGTCGTTAACCACTTTACAACGCATTTAAACGTCGGAGAGCTGCTGAAGAACCGCGCTAATAAATACAGCTTTTGCGAGCTTCGACCACGTCCATACGCGAACCTGCAAATTCCTGTTAGGTGGCTGCCCTTCAGAGGCTTGATAGCTTGATGATGTCCTCGTGATTGCACAGAGCACTGCTTTCTGCTCGACCAGCCGGCGTGTGAACCACCTCAAAGGTCGATTCGGCATTTCGCGTTAAAGCCATCGAAAGGGGCCCATTTCCACCAGCGTTGCTTCTATACGCACTGAGACTCAAAACTGTTATAAATGCTCCTCACATCGTATGCAATCCTCAGCATAGCTGCCCTATCGAGGTTTTCGAAACCGAACAATAACTTGGTCTATGAGCGTGCTGAGGAGGTTTCGAATAGACGAGCCTTGAAATATCAGCGTCAAGCGATGTGTCGTCAATCATTTCACTACAGTGAAAAGATTACAAGTTTGATGTCCATATATCCGCACGTGTCTTGTATCGTCTATAGCTTCTGACATCTGAGCGTAACATTGGGAGGGGTGATATGGTGGTAAGAGATCAGCCTGGAACCCTGGAATTACTGAATGGACATCTAAAAACATATCATGGTCTCTCATTCCCTTGAGAACGAGTTCACTCCGTTGTGCTTCGGTACCACCAGATGAGAAATGGCTATCAAGTCTTTGACTTGAGAACAATCAGGGCATTATGATGGTCTGGTGTGGTCATACCAGAATGAGGGACTGCCGCCAAGCTGCCTGATGCAAGTGCCTCTTGAAGTTAGAGTTCGCCTTGCGTCATCTGATATCTAACGATACAGTGTAATAATCATGACCATTGGCAAACTCTTTCGTAGTTGTATTGGTAATCTTTACCGAAAGTTTTAGAGGTTTATTCGTTTCCTTGGTATCACGTTTTTTGTAGCTGTGTTCTTAACATTCAAGAACTGATGCACCGTTTGCGGGCAGTGACGGGAAGATTCTTTCAATTTTGGGTTGCAATCGATTGAACCTTGAATGAATCAGAGTTAGAACTAGGCTACGCATTTGCCTCATTTGCGCCTAAGTGGGTTCTGCATTTTTTGCTATGTACACCTGGAACCTAAAAAGACGAAAATACCACCATGAATTAGGTTAAGAAAAGAGATGCTCTTCTTGGCTATCTTCAGAGGAGTTTAGATCACGTCTAAACAAGTGAGAACTTCAGCTAACGTGTGCAACAATAAGTGAAGCCACAAAGGAAGAAATTTGAACTCTAACCTCCAGACCTCAAGAATCTCACTCAGACAGAAAATTTCACAGGGACGCCGGTAAGCGCTGATGACCGTGTGATTTGCTGTCTTTGTGAATTATGTAACCAATTTCTCTCTGTCTAACAAGGACACCGAACTTCCTGGAACACCAACACTCAGCTGTGGCGCAATGGGCGCTATTGTTTTAGTATCGCGAGGAAGTGCCTTAAATGGTTTATTTTTCTGATACAAATCTAAAGGTGGATCTGATTCTGATGAGAGTTTACGTGCAAACAATGCGATCCAGGACCTCCATGTCTGGCCATGCTGACAGCCATGATTGAAAGTGTGTGGTCAGCAGGCGATCGCAGAAGTGGAGTCTATACAACGGTTTTGTGTAATATGCCCCCTGAATAAGACAACAGTGGTAGAGACGTGACAGCTAGCCTAAGCTGGCAAACCTTCATCTTCATCTTCCATCGCCGCTTCTCCTTTCGGGTCACGGAGGCAGACGCGTCAGACAGTGCTTCC